CGGAGCGGATGAGGGGAAGGGGAGGAATTGCGTTCAGCGCAACCAGAAGCAAGGCACGCGGAGGGGTCGAGGGGAGGAAGGGAGGGGGGGCGGGGGGGCAGGGGGGGGGCGGGGGGGGGTGGGGGGGCGGTGGTGGGAAGGGTGGGGGGAGGCGGTGAAGGAAAAAATGGGTGGAGACTCCCTACGCAGAGCGCAAATCCATTGGAGGAGGCGAGATTTCACCGCACAAAATCTGCTCCTCATTCTCGGGTTCACCCAAGGGACACCCCCCTCCCCCCCACCCCGATGGTCATTTGCGTGTGGCGGGTCATAGGGGATTAGAGGTGGGGTTTAGAGGAAGTCCGAATAGGAACCTCTGACCGCTTCGGCGCCGGGGGCCGAGGCGAATAATTAGAATAGGGTTTTGAGGCCCTTTAGATTATAATTATAACAAGGAGCCGGCCCCTACATTAAACCCTAAACCCTATACCTCGTATCCTAAACCCTAAACCCTTGACGTTAAAACCCCTAAGCAGGTTTGTGTTTTTTGTTTTTTGTTGCGTTTAGGGTTCAGGGTTTAGGGGTTTAGGGTTTAGGGGTTTAGGGTTTTGGGATTTAGGGTTTAGGGTTTAGGGTTTAGGGGTTTAGGGGTTAGGGCATGAGGGTTTAGGGGTTTAGGGATTGAGGGTTTAGGGTTTAGGGGTTTAGAGTTTGGGGGTTTGGGGTCTAGGGTTGAAGAGGTCTTGTATGAGATTGGATATGAGGGTTTTTTTGAGGTTTTTTCAACACGAGGAAAGAGGAACCCTAGTGGGGTGTACTTAAAGACTTAAAGGTTCATGGAACTTAGTAACTAGGTTTACAAGGTACTTTATATGCCTGTATTTACTACTTCCCATGAACCTCCCAGTTGCATTTAATTAGGGAGTACGGCGGAAGATTAGGATGCCTAACCCGAAAGCCTGAAGCCCAACCCCCAAACCCGAAACCAGTCCAGGGGACACTCCCATATCCATCTCTCTTCCCTCATGTTCGCTCCATGGTTCGACGACCCTTATACAGACAATGCCCCCAAAAGCCTATTCTGATTATTAAAGCTGCTACATTAAGATGGGCTGCTAGGCTCATGGACGCCTCCATGCATCTAAACGAAGATTCACTCATGTCGGAGCGCCACCAGTGTCTTACGTCTTAACCCTCAACTCCAAACCGTATATGTTTCGGATCGTGATCTGCTGAAATTCTCATGCCGGAGCCGTTACGGTTGGTTCATCTAGGTCTTCTTTGCAGTTTAGATAAAGTTTTAACACCTAAGCCCAAAAGCCCTAAAACCCTAAACTCTGAACCCCTAAACCCTAAACCCTAAACCTCTCAACCCTGAACCCCTAAACCCTATCCTTAAATCCCTGCCTGTATCCTGAAACTTGCGCGGTTTGAACGAGCTGGACAGCCCATGGCTCTTGTAGCCCACAACCCCAAACGCGAAAGCCCTAAAGGGTCTAGGGTTGAGGGTTTAGGGCCTAAGATCCGCATGAGGAGAACATAGGGTTTTAGGGTTCAGGGTCTACGGAAAACCCTAGCAACGTGCACAACTCTGCCTGATCTTGTAAAGCTTGTATAAGTTCTGCCAAACCCTAAAAACCTTGTTTTTTTTTATCAAGCAAGCCCTAAACTTAACCCTAAACCCTTAGCCTAACTCCTAAGCCCTAAACTCAAAGCCCTGAGCCCCAAACCCTAAACCCTAAACCCTTTCCAGTCTCCTTGTTGATGTCCCGTGTGAGCACAGGCACGTCCATGGCCGAGGGTTGCAGTGCATGGTCGGTTGTTGGCTTCCCTCCCTTCTTTTCCCGACTACCCCAAGAAAACAAGGGCTCAACCTAACCCCAAACCCTATTCAGAACACACGAACCGTCTGATTCCAATTCTTAACTTCCTTACAAAACCCTAAACCCTAAACCCTAAACCCTAAACCCTGAACCCTAAACCCTAAACCCTAAACCGTTCCTTGCACATTTCCGAGGTAACAAAGGGCTGAGGCTTCCCCGCAGATCCAAAGGATTCGTGAATTGGGTACTCGGGTTTGGGATAGTAGTTATGTAGGTCACTTGGGATTTTCCGAAAATAGAGCACCCTAATATAGTACTCTAAATAATAGGATCCTTATTATAAGGACCCCAAAATAAGGTACCCCCAATTTTCGGAAACCCCCAATTACCTATATCTTGCAGAGTATATGATAATTGAATAATTAGGTGTTCGGACCTTTCGGGCTACAGATACTTAAAGTAACACAGGGTGAATGCTTGAGAAAACCCTCAACCCTAAACCCAAATAGCACCCAAACTCCCGTTTAGGGCTTAGGGCTTAGTCTTAGGGCTCCAAAGACGAACGAGATTGGTACCTGCGGGGCATCATTCCTCAAGTAGCAAGCACGGTACAATGCCACCACCGGCACGTAGCATTTCATCCTGGTGCAAATATCTCCCCAAAGCACCAAAACGCTTAGGTTTGGCAGTTTGTAGGGCGCACCGGGACTGAACAAATACCCTAAACGTTCTTGTTGTAGACGAAAAACGACGACAAAACTACCCTAAACCCTAAACCCAAAGCTGTACCCTCTACTGTAGAAGCCTCGGCGACATGTCAGAGTTTGGAGTGTAGACTTGGCCCGTAATGTAGGGGTCTCAGTCGTAATTAGAACAATGTTTTGGGCTCCTATATAGTATACTTATATTAAGGAACCGTGAGGAATCATATTGGTTCTTATTTAGGCTTCTATATTACATACATATCTTCATTCGGGGGTTGCTCTGCTAGAAGCCATCCGTGAAGTCGACCATGAACCCTGCAATCGTTATGAAACCCTGACCCCGACTTATGAACCCGAAGAACCCCGTGAAACCCTGAACCCACTTCTTCTTCTTAAACCCTAAATCCTAAACCCCGAATCTCAGAGGGTCTCGGGAAACCCCGTAAGAGCGGCTTTGATCCTTACAATAGGGGGTAGTTCTCAAAATTAGGGTCGCTGCTTAGGTCTCCCAAATAGTACGGCACCCTTATAGAAAGGACCCTAAAGGGTACCCTAAAATTTAATTGAAAGCACTGCCCGAATCCGCTACATGTGTCTACCAGTGTTACGATCAAGATCTTCTGATAGTAGGCGCCTTCATAACTAGAAAAGAGGTTTGGGGTTCCATTCTACGATAGACATGCCACAACAATCAGGAAACACTGCTGCTGATGTTCCGATCCCGATTTGCAGTCCTGAGCCCTAAACGCTGGTCCCTCATCTCTACTTGGACACTGGAAAGCTATCTTTTCTAGCCTAAGGCTCTTAGGACTCATAGTTTTTTGGGCCCAAAGACCATACTATAAGGCTTTTGGGCTATTTTGAGCCTTAGGGTTAGAGATCCTTATTCTGATATGGGCCCATATGTCCTTTCAAAAGGTTCCGTAGATTATTTCGGGTTCAATGAGGCTAGGGTTTAGGGTTTAGGGTTTAGGGTTTAGGGTTTAGGGTTTAGGGTTTAGGGTTTAGGGTTTAGGGGTTTAGGGGTCAGTAAACCCTAAACCCTAAACCGTATGGAGTCACCATCTTCCTCCGGCAGCCAAGGTCTCAGCAGGTCTCTGACATCCACGGCCTCTGCCAGTTGCAGCAAGTGCTGGGCGGCCACGGAATGTCCACCTCGCCTGGAGCTAACCCCCAAAAGCCTTCTATAGTATGGTCTTTGGGCCCAAAAGCCTTAACATATGAGTCCTTAGAGCCTTAGGGTAAGTAATCAGCGGTATCGGGTTTGGGTTTAGGGCCTAGGGTTTAGCGTTTGGATGAGGGTCTTCATGACAACAATAGGGCATACAGTACCAGGGCTTAGCATATAAGCTTACATAAACAAGCATAGCCTTACAATAAGGACGATGAAGTGGTAAAGCTACAAGGGAATGGTGTATTGCAGGTTTCGGGTCTTGGGCTTTAGGGTGCACCTTGCATGTTTGAGGATTTGCCTTTGCGGTTCATAGGTATTGGTTCAGGGTTTAGGGGCGGTTCATAGGTAATGGTTTTTGCAAGACGGAACAATGACAGTGCAGGGTTTGGTCTAGAGGCAATCAGGAGTACCACCCTCTAGCACCTAATTTGGTTTTAGTGCAACAAAACCCACAGCCCTATTCTAATGAATAGAAGGCCCCATAGTATATTCCTAAACCCTAAGACTCTAAACCCTCTAAACCCTACTATAAGCCCTATAGCCCCTAAAACCCTAAAACCCCAAACCCCTAAAACCCTAAAGCCCTAAAACCCCAAACCCCTAAAACCCTAGAATCCTAAAACCCCAAACCCCTAAACCCCCAAACCCTAAACCCTAAACCCCTAAACCCCTAAACCCGGGCTTTTAGGGGAGGGAGGCTGAGGAGCTGCAATGGGAGTAGTGCGAGGCAGTGTACCAAAAGGCTGGAGATCCCGGGGGTGATGTCGACCAATGGGGTTTAAGGTTTAGGGTTTGGGGTTTAGGGTTTAGAGTTTAGGGTCCAGGGTTCAGGGTTCAGGGTTTAGGGTTTAGGACCCTTAACCTGATTTGTTAGTATACACAAGGCTCATGCTAAGATCCCGGTTCTCCTATACTTCTGTACTATAACATGTCCAAACAACCTAGTCTGTCGTCTGAGGGCCTCAAACCCAAAAGCCCCAAACCCCGGAACCCTGGCCCACTCTAAACCCTAAAACCTAAACCCTAGACCCTAAACCCAAAACGATAAAGCCCTAAACCCCCAACCCGGAACCCTGAACCCTAAACCCTAAACTCTAGACCCTAAACTCAAAACGCTTAAGCCCTGAACCCAAAACCCTAAACCCAGCCCTAAACCCAAAACCCAAAGCTACCCAAAACCCCAAAACCCTAAAGCCCTAAAGCCCTAAACCCAAAACCCTAAACCCTAAACCCTAAACCCTAAACCTAAACCCTAAACCCTAAAGCCCCAAAAGCCCTAAAAGCCCGGAACCCTGGGCCCTCTCTGTCCACCCTAAGCCCCGAACCTGCCATCCGACCGAAGCCCAGAAAGCCCAAGACCCCCAACTTCAGGAATATAGCTTAATTCGGTTTAGGGTTTAGGGTTTAGGGTTTAGGGTTTGGGGTTTAGGGTTTAGGGTTTAGGGATCATAAGACTTAAGCCCCCTGTACTTTCAAGATCTATTCCTCAATTGAGGGGTACTGGGCTCTCTGAGAGCACCCTAAACCCTAAACCCTGAACCCTGGAAAATGAGCCTTGAACCCTAGACCCTAAACCCTCAACTCTAGACCCTAAACTTTGGGTTTAGGGTTTATGGTTTAGGGTCTAAACTCTAGACCCCAAACCCTAAAACCCCCTTCGCCCCAAGGACCGGTTAAACCGAGCTGCTCGCAAACGGCGAAGGCCAACGACAGGATCATCACCTTATGGGCCGGTTAGGGTTTAGGTTAGGGGTGTAGGGTTTAGGGTGTAGGGTTTAGGTTTTAGAGTTTAGGGGGCTTTGCGTTGTGCTGCATAGTCTCCACGGTGTAGCCATGAGTTTTTTTGTTTTAGGGCTTTGGCCAGGTTTTCAAGGGCTTTCGAAGCGTCGCATTCGTTCTGAAAGTGTGGTTTCGATTTGGTTGTACCGCTTCCAGCGAAGGAAGTCAGATGTTAGTTGCCATGGCAAGGAACACCTGCTAGTTACCTTATATCCATATTCATGTAAGCTGCTCCATAACAGGAACCCTAAACCTAGATAACAACAAGAACATACAATAACTCTTAACACCGACCTTCTAGCTGCGAAGCTCCTTTTACAAACCCTGCGGAACCCAAAAAGAAACAAAACCAACATAAACCCCAAACCCTGAACACTAAAATCTCAAACCCGCTGACCCGGTATATAACCCTTCAGGAAGCCCTGGAGGAAACCCTTCAACAACTAAAGCGTGAACTGGAATAAACCCTAAACCCTGAACCCTCAACCCTGAACGCCAAATAAGAACCCAGTCACTTCTGCATCTGCCACGCCTTTCTTCCCCTTAGGCGTAGCCTGGGCCAAGAGGTCCAGTGCCAGCTGCCATTGCGTACCTGCTCCACAACAGCGAGGGTTTAGGGTGTGGGGTTTAGTGTTGGTTCCGCGGTTTAGTGATGGCTTAGAGTTTGGGGTTTAGGATCCGACGATTCGGGTTTCTTTAGGATCGCCTACACCCTTACCCACATCTTCACCTATCATACAACTTGTAGACTAGACCAATCTACAGACCCTACATAGGTAACCGCAGGGGATCACGCTTCAACTCCCCCACCCTTCCCCAAAGGAAGTGCATCACGTAAACCCGCTTCCAAAAAACTGCCGCAATCCCTCGAGCGCACTTCCGACTTTGGGTTTGGGGGTTTAGGGTTTA